AGCAAAACAGTAAGTGATAAGGGGAAGAGAAAGCGAGACAGTCATCCTCTCAAGGCTAACCTTGGGAGAGCTCGCATGCCCAGTGAAATCCCGCTGCAGGCACGATGCTGTGCTGTGCTGACAGGCCTTCCCTGGCAAAACATGAATTTTGCAAAAGGCACAGGGCGGCACAAAGGCTGAATTACCTTCCCTGGAATACAGATCCCAGGCAAGGCACTCCTATGACTGTTTTAACTCTACCTCCCAGGCACAGCATCTGAGGAACGAGATTTGCAGCTACATCGCTCCCAGCTGGACGAATGGACCACTGCTGAGTGAACAAGTCCTTTTGGATGGGCCAGGGTAAGCAGAGGTCTGCTTCATTAGCTCCTGTGCAAGGCAATAATCCACGGTCGGAGTCATAGGTTGCTGTGTTAAGCCACACAGTTTTACTTAGGCTGATGTCCTTACTGGTGTCATGTTTTCAGGCTGTGGCCCCAACTGGTAGTCTAAACCGTCTGCTTAATTTTCCTTATCATCTGGAAGTGAGTGATGCCCTGTCCTTCCCAGACCCTGGGAAGAGGAAGGTATCTGCTTGCAGAAGGATTTCTTTGCCTGGATCCCCGCTGGAGAGATAACCCCATGTTCAAACACGGATGAGAAAACCAGGCAGGTTCCCGACTGTTTTCATAGGCTGGGGTATGTCTTGCCTGAAACGGTCTTACAGCTTTCTCTTTAAAGCATGGCTGCAGAGGTTATCTCCCCTCTTACTTGCAGCCATTCAGCATCCCTGCCAAAAGCAGTGAAAACCAGCAACAGGCAAGTAACTAACTCCTGGTTTATCTTCTAAGGTAGTTTTGGTTCAGAAAACCAGCGGAAGAGAAGGTGCTGTGTGGCTGCTCCACTGCCAACTTGACCTCTGTAACCTGTAGCTCAGGAGCCTTTGCACTTGCTAATTCCTTTTAACACGAGTTGCTACAAGACTGTTCCTGCATGTGACTAATGTCTTCTCGGATGTTGCTCTAAGTGTTCTCAGAAAAGAGCACTGTAAGATGGGCTGGCTGTAGCAAAGCTAGCATGCTATGATGCAACTTGTTGTTTTGAACATACAGTACAGTAACCATCAGTAATGACAGTCGATTACTCTCAAGATGCCCCTCCAAGCATACTTTACACAGACGGCGCTTCCTTCTCTGAAATTCACCCAGACTGGTGAAAGAGCATTCAATGAGCAGCAGCATCGAGCAGCTGCCTGCAAGTTCTCATCAAAAGCCTCTTGATTTTTGTGACTTCTCCACTAGCTTTGGAAAGAGTTGACCTGTACTTGTAAGAGCTCCTAGGAAACAAACTGGGCAAAGCGAGCATTCAGGGTGATGTGATCAAGGAGACAGTGGAAAAGCCAAACCAAGGTACGACTTTTGATGAGCAGCATGAAGACCGCATTTGGAGGCAGAAGTACGGAGGGCAACTTGTGCAGTAAGACTCAGAAAGCTAAGGAGAGAATTCTTTTCTTAGGCTTCTAGCAAGATTTCCTTTCACTGCCAAGGAAAGGGCACTCGAGATCTCTGTACAAAGCCAACAACCAACTGGTTTACTCAAGCGTGTGTAGCGGTGCATCGGATGCTACCATTGCTTCTACATGACGCCATACATGACACCACTTCTAATGCTGCTAGAAACTGGATACCATACATACAGCTACAGAGGTCCTTTTTGCTGGTCTCATACATGACACCACTTCTAATGCTACTAGAAGGTGGGCACCATACATACGGCTATGGACGCCCTTTCTGCTGATGTGGAAATGAAGCTGGGAACCATGGAGGCTGGGACCACTCCATCATCACAAGTCTGAACAAAGGAGTAGTGTTCATAGAATAGCTAGGGTTGGAAAGGACCTTAAGATCATCAAGTTCCAACCCCCCTGTCATGGGCAGGGACACTTCACACTAAATCACATCACCCAAAGCTGTCCAGCCTGGCCTTGAACACTGCCAGGGATGGAGCATTCACAACTTCCCTGGGCAACCCATTCCAGTGCCTCACCACCCTTACAGTAAAGAACTTCTTCCTTATATCCAATCTAAATTTCCCCTGTTTAAGTTTTAACCCGTTACCCCTTGTACATGTACCGTTATTAAAGGAAAAACTCCCAGCATACTTATAATGCTCAGGATCTATGGCTTAAACTGCCAAGTTTGGGGTATAAAAGGGGCTGAGCACACCACCTGCGAGCCAAAGGTCAGTGTGGGTAGCATGCAGTGAGTGTACCAGGTATCGCGAGATGCCTGTCACAGCCTCAGTTCTAAGACAAACCATGCACAATTTCTTTGCACATCTACAGCAGCAGCTAACGGTTATTTTTTTGGCTTTGAACTTTGTCCAAAGTTCATCTCCAAAACAAACTTCAGTCAAAGTGCCCGTATCGACTCCTCAGCAGAATAAACATGCTGAATCTCTAATAACGTTTCAGCACTCGTGCTCACTTCTTTCAACCTGCTTCTTAACCAGAAAGATAAAACCCAGTGAAATAAACAGCCTTTACTTGGGATTTGTTTTTCTGGTGCCTCTATCAAAGGCTCTGAAGGACAAAAGCAACTCCTGTCTGGTTGTTTTCAGAGTAAGCCGACTGCTTGTTTTACTTCAAACCTTAACTGAAGGTAACGTGAAAATCCAGGCTGTTGTTGGGTTCTAACACTCGGGCTCTGCAACTTGAACCACTGGTAGTAAAGTTTACACAGAGGGGGGAAATATGAGTATTTGGAGGGGTTTAAGAATTGGTTATGGAGTTGAGGCTGGAGGGGTGAGAGGAAGGAAGGGGCTGGATGTAACTGCAGTAAACTAATGTATGATTGGATGGCAATCAACCTGACCCTGGTATTGCTTGATCTGAGTGGCTATAAAGTACAAAGAACTATTAAAAGCAAACACAGTATTATTAACAATCCTGTAATATTTTTATTGCACTGACCGTAACACTTCTTGTCACAGTTGGACATGTTAGAAAACCTATTGTGAAGGCCACTAGTTTTTTTGGTAGTCCAGTGGTATGTGACCTTACCTATTAACCCATGATGTGCACCTTTCAGTAGCTATTTGATGGTGTTTTCTGTGGTTTTATGTTTTTTAGTTCTCCATCAACTCTGCTTTTCAGATTCAGGCTTGTAAAAAAAAAGCAAAACAAGTTTATAAAAAACAGGGGATAGGAAGAATTCCCTCAAAAAGCCAAACAAAATGAAAATGGAAAACAAGGGCATTTTTGGAGGACTCCATTTGCTTCGTACGTTTTCCTTTTTGTGCCCTTAAGGTTTGCGTCTTCAGGCTCTTATTTACAAACCCACAGGCTAGAAGTTTAATGAAACAAAAATAACCTCAAGTTTCTCACACAACTGTATGGGCCCAGGAGCTACAGCTTTAAGAAAGGCACCAAGTTAAGTTCACAATTCAAATCCCACAGAACTTGTTGACCAATTAACAGTAATTAAATAAGCTACAGCTTGGTAGCCCCATTTTTTGACTGTGGAGGGGGTACCTTGCTGTAACCCCCCCTCACATCGAGCACACCAGAATCCTCCAGATGATAACACTGCGCATTATTGCCCAATTATGACGAGTCCCCGAGTTACTCATCACAACTGCTTTATGGATTTAGTTTCACAACATAATGAGTTCATTGCAGTTTCCTGAAGCATCTGCAGAGATAATGCAAACACTTACTTTTCTTCCCAACTTGTGAAAGCTGCGAAGGAATAAAGTGATGCGAGAGGATATTAAAAAGAAGAAATAAATCATTTTTGCATTGCATCAACCCCCAGCTTTCTGTAAGAGCTTGTGCAAATCCCGCAGCGTCCAGAACATGTCCCACTGCTTCATAGCAATGGTGGCTCCGAGATAAAGGCAAGGTTTGGGGTAATTCTGGGACTCCAAAGAAATTCAGAAGCCGGAGGCATACGCCACGGCTGGAAGTTAAGCTGGTTTATTGCAGGTAAGGACTGATCCTGCTTGGGTTTGGGCAGCCCCCAGCATCTGAATGCCTAGGAACTGGGGGGGCACAGCGGCCCCACGCTGCTCTTTCACGGGAGGACGGACACAAAAACACCCAAGGGGCACTGTGCACCCCAAATCCTGATCCTGTTGCCAGCAATCCCCAAAGCCGATCTCACGGTTGTTCTCCTTTTGCCTCAACAGGCACCGCAGGGTGAGATGCGTGATGTATAACTTCCCCGCTTGGAACCTGCCTGGGAAACTTTGTGACTCGCCGAGATTTATTTTTGCCTTTTGGGAAGGGGATTTAAAGAGGAAGAAATAAAATAAAAGGAAATAAAAGGTAAACGCAAAAAGGCGATGAAAGCTGTCGAGCAGCCCGAAAGCAAATGGCAGCATCACCCAGCGCCGGAGCAGAAGTTAATCAATAAATAACCGAACCCCGCTGCATGAGGCGGAAAAGCGGCGGCGGAAAGAAGGGAAAGAGAGAAGAGGGAAAACCCTCCCCGGGCCCGCGAGCGGGAGCGCGGCTCCTGCCAGGAACACGGCGGTGCCGGCGGGAGGGAGGGAGCGGCGGGGACGGGATGGGATGGGAGCAGGGCTCGGGATGCGAGGAACACCGCTCTTCCCCCCCGCCGCAGCTTCCTGCGCCCCCCCCCACCCCCGGCCCTGTTGCATCAACTTCCTGTGCGGAGCCCCTCGCGCGCGGCTCCTCCCGCCCCAGCTTCCTGCGCGCGCTCCCGCGCCCGCGCTCCCGCACGGGCGGGCGGGGGGAAAGAGACGGGAGAGGGAAGGAGGGAGGGAGGGGAAGCGGCGGGGGGGGTCGGCCCGCTCACTGTTCCCCCCCCCAGTCACCCCCTTCCATCCATCCATCAATCCCTCCCTCCCTCGGCCGTGCGCCTCCCGCCCGGTGCCGGTGGTGCGGTGCCGTTGAGGTGCGGTGCGGCCGCCCGGTGCCGTGTCGCCCCCCCCCCCTCCTCCATCGCCGCTCCGGCAGAGTTTGGTGCCCTACTTCACTCTACTTTAGTTTCACTCACTTTACATCCGGGCTTTTTCCCTAGGCAATGGGGGCCGCAGCACTACCCGTTCCTTAGGCAAAGGGAAATAAATTCGCCGCACCGACACGTCAAGTAGTCCCCCTCAGGAGGAGACGCTGAGCCCGCCCTCTACTCCGCTACACGCACACACACGCCCCCCCCCCCCCCCCCACCTTTCCCTTCTCCTCTTCATCCTCCTCAACCCGGCCCCGCTATGGCGGTGGAGGATGATGAAGGGGAGGGCGTGGACCCGCCGGTCCGGTCTTCCCCTCGTTTCCCCCCGCGGGTCTCCGTCGGCGGGCCGGGGACGCGCGCGGCGGCGTGTCGGGAGCGCGCCTCAGGCAGGCAGGGAGGGAGGGAGGGAGGGAGGGAGGCCGGCGGCGGAGGGATCCGCAAGCAGTGCTGCGGCCGGGCCGGGTGAATGGGATTGAAGAAGAGTTCAGCTTCTCGGCTTGTTTTTGTGTCACAGTTTGTCTCCTCCTGCGCCTCGCCGGCTTCGTGCCTCCCTCCCCGCCCGCACCCTCCTCCCCTCCGCAGGACGAGCCCCCCGCGGACAGGGGGAAGGAAAAGGACCCCACAGAGGCGAGAGCGAGCGAAGAGGAGGAGGAGAAGGGAGCAACCTACCATCTTCCACTCCCCGCTTAGCTTAAAGAAAGTGAGAGGAGGAGAGAGGCGCCCAGAAGAGGGGGACAGGGAGGCCCGGAGGAGCGGCGGCGCCGGCACCCTCCCCCTATGAAGAAGAGTCCTCCCCCTCACACAGAGGTCCTGCCAGGGGGACCCGGGCCGGCCCGCACCAGCACCGCCGCCGCCAGCAGGGTGTAGTATCCCACCTTTCGGATTCTCCTCCTCCTCCTCCTCTTCCTCCTCCTCCCTGTCCTCCCCTTCCCCCCCCATCCCTCCCACCGCGGGGCCGCCGCACTCTCCGGGCCAACTTGGCGATGAGGAGCAGCAACTTCTCCGCTGCTCCCCGCCCCCCCCCCCCCCTTTCCCCGTCCCCTCCCTCGGGGGGTGGTGGTGGTGGTGGTGGTGGGGAAGAGCGGAGCGTCCCGGGGCACCGCCGCGGTTCCCCCCCTCGGCCTTTCCCCGGCGGGCGCCGGCAGAAGTTTTGCGAGCGGGAGCGGTGGAGGTGGAGGAGGGTGACACTTGGGGTGAAAGGAGGAGGTGACACATTGGGGTTGGGGGGAGGAGCAGGGGAAGGAGATGACACATTGCACTGGGGATGGGGTGGGGGAGGGAGGTTTATCCCCTCCCCTCCGGTTTCCTTCAGGATGATTATTTCCAGGCCCTTTTTCTCTCGGTCGGGTCCTTTCGCCGCGATGCTGTCGGGGAAGTTTTATTATTATCTGGGAAATGATGCCGCTTTCCGCGATGGATAATTCATAGGAAACCCGCTGCTGCGGTGCATTTTTTGTGCGTTTTTATGTATTCCCCCCCCCCCCCCCCCCCCCCCCTTTCCTTTCATTCGTCTTTGTGGCCCGAGCAGCGCCGGGAAAATTCCGTTTCTTCTGCAACTTGTTATTCCGGAGCCGGGCCTGCCCCCCCCCCCCTCCCCGCGCCGGGGCTGCCCTTCCCGCACAGATACGGGGCTGGGGCCGGGGCTCCCGCTCCTGCCCCGCTCGGCTCTCGGCCTTGGCCACGGCTACTTCTTCATTCTTATTCTTTTTCCCTCCCTCCTGCGTCCGTGTAGGTGGAGTGTAGCTCTATGTGGGACTCTGCCATTTGGTCTAGTGCTCTTGTGCATGCTCCTTTCTTCACTTGCCTTCCTGCGGGATTTATTGTTATTTTTATTTTGATGGTGATGTATGGGATTTTTTTTTTTTTTTATTATTCCGAGTTTTTCCAGCGGTAGAGTTTTGTTGGGTTTTCTTTTTCCCCCAAAACACCTCTGCAGTTCGGTGGATTGTATGCTGAGGTTTTTAGGTGAATTCGGATTGGATTAATACATGGAGCTCTTCATTCAACTTCTTCTCAAGTGTCAAAAAATGAGGCTATGAACAGATGTGTTTCAATATGGAGAGATTTCCAAGTTCCTAATTCTTGGGGGTGGAGGAAAGAGTGCCATTGGAGAGTGGCTTTTGTTTTCGATTGGTGAACAAATGTCATCACATTTCAGTCACGTGCTGTAATATTCTTTGTTCAGCTATCAAAGTATGGTATCTACTACACCTGTTCCCACTTTTTAATTGTAAGTAACGGTGATTCTTATCCTGCAAATCTTATACTTGTGGATAGGGAGTGCAATTCCCATCTTCCTCCCCCCTTCCTGCCCCCTTGGATGTTTGTTTGGACCCAGGCACTGAGCTTGACAATGAACTTTTGTTCACTGTGGAGGCTGCGTGTAGAAAGGTCCCACTGGGGGTAATAACTTGCGTGTCATGAGGAAGTTGTGTGCGGTGATGTGCGGTGGGTCTGAGCATGGAACAGTGCGGTGGGGATGTGTGGGCACTCATGGCAGGGCTCTGGGAAGGGGCAGGCTCCCCTGGGCCAGTGGCATTTTCCTAGCTAGGTACGCTGTTGCTTGCTCTCAGGTTAGAGGACAGATGCTCCCGTGCACCCATATAGATAGATACATCTTTTTTTGCTTAGCTGTAGCTTTTCAGGTATTAGAAAGCAAAAGGGTTTTGGCTGTTTACTTTTTTTTTTTTTTTTCTATTTGCCCATTGTGCTCACTTCTAACAATGAAGGCACCTGCTTAGTTTCAGTTTTGGAAGTCAGCCTCCTCTGGCTTTCCTGGGCTTGCCTGTAGCTTGCTGGTGAGCTGGATGTGCTACATAGTGAGGGAATGTTTAACTTGGGAGAAAAGAGGCTTATTTTGGAGCCTAATTTATGGAAAAAAAAAACAACAAACCCATGCTTTTCAAATTGGGAGAAAAACCCCCAAACCCCTAAAAATCTGAAAATCATAACTTCTACCCAGTTAATATGTAATGCTGAAACTTTTATATTGAGCTTGATAGCGATTGTGTACAATACAATTTTATAGTTTATATTTAAATAGTGTTGTTAGCTTACTGACATGAACTGGATCTTAAAGTAGGAAATGAAACGTGCAACTACCCATGTTAGTTGAAGTTAATCACTACACTTTAGAAGGATCACAGGCTTTGGGAATATATCTGGGCATGTTTCATGATAGCTGTGTGAAACTGTTTCTGTGGGGGCATTTTCTTTTTAATTATTCTTTTCTAGAAAGGAGTTTTCTAGCTCAGTAAATGAAACTTTAATACTGTATTAAAAAACCCCAAACAGATGAAGTGCTGCTCGAATGTTTTTAAACCTTTCAACCTTACTGTGCTAGGGAAATTAGGTTACTTTATGCTAGTTACATCAGCTACAAGTTTGAGCTGATAGAGAAGGGAGTATGAAGCAACCTCTTTATCCATTGATTTCATGTTGCGTAGTAGCATGTCTGGAGTTTGACTTCAAGGTCTTAAGGGACCTTGTCCAGCTGAAGGTGCTTGCTTGCTAAGTACTTACTGGATGTCAGCTATGTCGTACCCCCAGTTTTTATTCACACTGATCTGAGTGACAGCAAACTTGAAGTGGATCCCATTAGTGTGCTTTATTTTTTTTTGTTTTTTGTTTTTTGTTTCAGTTAGTGATTTTTAGTGATTCTTTTGCAGTTACCTAACAGAGTTGATGTGTATAATTCAAAGTGTCCCATTAAAGAATGTTATTAATAATTATTTTACTGTTGGTCATCTTAAGATTTCTACCTGAAAGCTTTTAATCTTTGCTCTTCTCTGTGTGCGTCCTAAACTGGATTTGTTGTGAGGTCGAAGAAAGCATTTGAAAATGTTTTTCTTCCTTTAGGGAATAAAAATACAAAACTTTCCCTTCAAAGAACTTAAAGCAAAAGTTGGAAACTGAAACTTAACGCTGCTCAGAGAAAAACACTGTTGTGTTTTCCTGCTTCAGAGGAAGGTTCACTACTTTCAGTTTAGGTTTTGTAAAGATCTCTCTTCACCCTAGGCCATTCAGATTCAGCTGTGTTTCAAGTATTAGGCCTAAATAGTTCTTGTTACAACTTTCCTTTTTTAAAGATGAGGTTTTGTGTATGTCTGTGAAACTTCACTGTAGAAATTAGAATTGAAAGGAAATGACAAATCCTTGGGCTGGATCCGTACAAAGGAGGTAATTTTACTGTTTTTTTATTTTTTTTTTAAATAAAAGTGTTTTAATGGCTCCTAAAAAAGTTGTTAAATTCTGTGTGCAGTTCGGATGCTTTAATAATGGGCCTGGCTATCACTTGGGTTGCTCACGCTGTTTGTTTATAATGGGCGTGATTGCATGCGAACACATTGTAGCTGTTCAGTTCCTGTCTACTTAGTGTCAGACCCATGAAGACCTTTATTCAGTCAAGTGAATTGATACTACTGGAAGTTATTTCCGATGGAGATTTCACTTTCATTTCAATACCAGTTGGTAGGAACCTTGATGGACTTACCTTGTTTCCTATGTTATGGGTATTTTGCATGGGTACCAGAAACTCAAGATGAACATCATTTGAGAAACACATGTTGGTGACTTAACCTTTTTACTGTTGTTTTGGGTTTGTTGTTTGTCGGGTTTTGCTTGCTTAAAATCTTCCAGAAAGACCTTAGTAGTGTGATAGGGCTTTGCTTTTCAGAGTGCCATCATGGTGTGATGTGAGCTGTAAAGCAGCCCAGCCATCAGGAGGGGCTTCTTGTGTAAAAAAGGCAGTGCTAAAAACCTATTATTAAGCTTCTAATAGTATTTCTTCACTGTCCCCTTCACCCTTTATGCTCACAACTGTGCAGTCACATGTGTAGCTGTGTACTAGAAGTGTAAGACTCCACAAAAGGCCTGGCTCCTCTATGATTGTGAATTGCCCTTGTTCAATTACTCTGTGCCAGAAAGCAGCTCGCATCCTGTTTCTGATATGTTTGAACTGCACAGAGGTTTTTTAGGAACAAACCATATACTAGGAAGGTGGGGCAGTGCACAGGAGGGTTTTGAGGTGTCTGCTTAATGCACGGGGCAAGATATTTACTTCTGTACCCTGTAAATAGAGGGTAAACTGAAGGATAGTTTTTATAGGTATCTTACATTAATATTTCATGTTCACTATAGCACAGAGCTGGTGTCTGGCTTGTGCCAGTGGCAGGATATGCATTATGCAGGCAAAAAAAGAAGTTTATTTACATTTGGGGATGGAGGGGGACTTTGTATTTTCTTATTTTCCTTTTTTCTTGCTGTAAATACAGTCTCATTAAAAACAAAACAAAAAGAAAAACCCAAAACCAACAAGAGAACAACCCTGTGTTTCTTTAATAAGTTTTCAA